GAGAGAGAGAGAGAGAGAGAGAGAGAGAGAGAGAGAGACAGAGACAGAGACAGAGACAGAAACAGAGACAGAGACAGAGACAGAGACAGAGACAGAGACAGAGACAGAGACAGAGACAGAGACAGAGACAGACACAGACACAGACACAGACACAGACACACAGACATACAGACACACAAAACACAAACACAACAAATAAAAGTAAACAACAACAACAACAACAATGACCAAAAAGACCAATAACTTACCTTCCAAACTCAAAAATTACGAGCTGCAAGAGGCGTCGCGGGAGGGGCGTGTGGCGTCCGTCGCTCTCTGGCTCAAAGTACCCGAACGCGACTGAAATTTCCTGTTTCTTTGTGCGATAAGGAACACCGAGATAAGAAGGGAAGTAAGAGGGAAGAGAGGAAGAAAGAAAAGTGAGGAATGTGAGGGGGAAGTGTAAGAGATAAGGGTGCGTGAGGTGTGAGAATAGGGAAGGAGAAAATCGAGAAGAAAGGGGGAGAGAGAGAGAGAGAGAGAGAGAGAGAGAGAGAGAGAGAGAGAGAGAGAGAGAGAGAGAGAGAGAGAGAGAGAGAGAGAGAGAGGAGAGAGAGAGAGGAGAGAGAGAGAGATGGAGAGAGAGAGAAAGAGAAAGATAGATAGATAGACAGACAGATACAGATAGATAGACAGACAGATACAGATAGATAGACAGACAGATAGAGATAGATAGACAAACAGATAGAGAGAGAAAGAAAGACAAAGAATGAAGAAACCGAGAAATAGACAAATAAGTAAAAATATATCAAACTGCATTTTCAAGAGATAAGTAGTATCGATTTCCCTATATTGGGATATCTATATAAAAATCTCGAAGCGTGGAAACCGAACCCATGAACTGGCTCTTTTGTCATTTGGTGACAATGACATTCTTGATGAGGATGGCGATAACGATAATGATGAATATGATAATGAAATGATGATGGTCATGATAGTAATAGTAGTAGTAGGAATAAAATTGATGATGGTAGCATTATGGTGATGATGATGATGATAGTATTAGGTGATGATGAGGATGATGATGATGAGGGTAATGGTGAAAATGAAAGTAATGATGATAACAATAACAATGATGATGATGGCAATGATAATGGTAAAGATGATAATGAAATATGGTAACAATGATGGTTATAATAATAGTCATAATGATAATCATATCAATTATGATATGATAATGATAATGGTGATGATGATAATGATAAGGATGATGTGATGATGATGATGATGATTATAATGATAATGGTTATGATGATGATAATAACAGCAATGCTTATGATAATGATGATAACAGCAATGATAATGATAATATTGATGATGGTGATGATAATGATGATAGTATGAGAGTAATGATAGTAATAATAACGATAAGAAGTATGTATATATATATATATAATATATATATATATATATATATATATATATATATATTATATTATATATATATATAATAATATATATATATATATATATATATATATATATATATATATATATATATATATATATATATATATATATATATATATATATATATATATATATATATATATATATATATATATAT